AAAAAGCTCGGGAGGAGATCGTATTTGAGAGGGACGTCGGCACTGTGCAGGGCCGCAAATCGTTTCTCACGACACCGCTGGGTGCTCTCTTTCTCAAGACTTATCGCGAGGAAGTTGTCAAGGCCTTTTGTAACTCGCCCGAGTTTCTCGACAGACTTTGTCCCGCCGCCGTACAATATTTCGATCATACCTTCGATGCCTAGGAGACGGTGGTGGCGGGATCTGAATTTGCAGGAAGGCTCGACCGTGAAGCGATGAGGCTGGCGCTTCCCGATCCTGAAGGTTATGAGGTTGACCCCTCCCTCCCGGGTGATTACCAATGGTGGATTGGCCTGGAGGCTAAAGCCATTCAAGCCGCCAAGCTTTCTTCTCGGCTCGAGGCTCCCTCCACTTCTCCGATCCAGCCGAGCGGGCCAAATCTTGAAGAAGGTCAGATAGTAAGCACTATCGATGAGAGCGACGAAGATGCTGACTCTTAGAATCGTATCTCTAGGCCTGTCACCTTTTATTCTCTATAATTTTCTTTTCTGTCGTTTGTTTTTACTGTTTGTTCTTATCTCGACCTAGTTCTCAGATTGTAAAGGTCAAGATGGTTCTTGTAATGAACCTATCTTGAATATTATCTTTCGTTTTCTTTTGCTTGAATCGTCATGTACTCGCAACTTTGTAATTTAAATTGGTTTTAATCATGAATTCATCGATACTTCACTTGTTATAACTTCGTAGTCGTAAATTTATCGACACTTCATTTGTTGACACTTTGTAGTTAAAATGACTTTATAGATGTAAGCTTCATAGCCTTGACGAGATTCTACTCGAGACATACAACTTTGCAGTTGTTTGAGGCGACTTTGTAGTCGTAGGCTTCGTAGCCTTGCCGAGATTTCGCTCGAGGCATACAACTTTGTAGTTATTTGAGTCGACTTTGTAGTCGTAGGCTTCGTAGCCTTGCCGAGATTTCGCTCGAGGCATACAACTATGTAGTTGTTTGAATCGAATATGTAGTCGCAGGCTTCGTAGCCTTGCCGAGATTTCACTCGAGGCATACAACTTTGTTGTTGTTTGAATCGACTTTGTAGTCGCAGGCTTCGTAGACTTGTCAAGATTTCGCTCGAGGCATACAACTTTGTAGTTGTTTGAATCGACTTTGTAGTCGCAGGCTTCGTAGCCTTGCCGAGATTTCGCTCGAGGCATACAACTTTGTAGTTGTTTGAGTCGACTTTGTAGTCGTATCTCCAACCTGTTGTAGTTCTTAAGAAAGTTTAAGTATGTGGATAACCGTGGTAAAATGTAAAAAGACAATTCAAACATCAAACATGACATTCATTTCATTACTGAATTTAATTCAAACGTTTTTCAGTACAAAAAGAGGCTTTAGACTCAGCCTTAGGCGTAAAAGCGTTTAAGATGGATCACATGCCAAGATCGGGGCAATTGACGACCTTCCCCGTCCTCTAGCTCGTATGCTCCTCTCTCGAGAACTTTTGTGACTGTGTAAGGCCCTTCCCAGTTGGCCTCTAGCTTCCCGACATGTTTGAGGGTGTCTGCACGCTTGAGGACGAGATCTCCTACTTGGAATCGCCTGGCTCGGACTTTCTTCTCGAATGTTGCGCGCATCTTTTGCTTGTATTCCACCGATCGCATCCAGGCCTCTTCTCGTCCTTCTTCAATCAAATCGAGGGCTTCTTTGGCCATTTCCTCGTACTTTTCCTGTTCAAAGTATGTCGACCTATGCGAACTTAGTGCAATTTCTACTGGCAGGAGGGCATCCATTCCATACCCCCTTTGAGCCTTGATCGCAATTTTGTTGTGAGTATTTTTACCGGAGTAGAATCGAATGATTCGTTCCCCGGGTCGTATCACAAGGAAGGTTAGCCGGATTCAATCGTACGTTTATTCGATCACGGAAAAGAGAAAATATCCTAGACACTCTATTCAATGGATTTGGTTTTGATTATAACTAATGACTTGAAAATAAATGAAAAGCAACTTAAACAGAAAACGAATTTACTCAAATGAGTAAAGAGCTAGGGAATCGGGGATAATTGCTTTCGGTTCTACCACAGCTACCGGCAATCAATTGCTCGGTTTAAGGACCTGAATCGTTTCTCGTTCAGAGGTTCACTCTCAATACAGTTACGAACAAGAGAGTGGATGTAAACGATTAACTATCAGTTCCCGCAACGCATAGACAATACAGTTACGAACAAGCAATTATTATCGAACCTAATCAATCATCCCCTATCCCTAGCGTATGGATTTAGCTACTCATATGGAATTCAACATAAAAATTCATAAGAACCCAAGCCATCATCATCAATCACACAATAGAGAAGGAAAAACTTACGATTAATAATGATATTTCAATGTTGAATCCAAAAACATCCAATCCAAAGCAAGGAAAATAGAGTTTTTAATCTCCAAAATCCAATCAAATGAGTAAAAGCATGAAAAGGAATGAGTTTCTAGAGAGAAAAAGTGAAAAAACGAAGTCTGGAATGTGTATAATGATGTCTAGGTCGAAAATCTGATCTAAAAATCCCGACCTCGAATTTGCGCCGAGCAAGTCGCGAGTCGCGACCTAAGTCGCGAGTCGCGACTTACCAAAAATCCATCTCGTGAGTCGCGAAATCTCGCGAGTCGCGCGTCGGCAAAAATTTGTAAAATCTGGGGAAGTTCGCGAGCTGACTCGCGAGTCGCGACATCATCTCGCGAGTCGTGACATTGACTCGTGAGTCGCGACTCGTATCGCGAAAGTCTTCAATTCGTCTTTGTTGGACTCGCGGGTCGTGACTATCTCGCGAGTCGCGACTAACTCGCGAGTCGCGACCATGACTCGCGAGTCGCGAGATGTCCTGGGCAGCTTTTCAGTCCATTTTTTTGGTCCTTCCTTCAGTATTCTAAGCACGTCAATGGGTATTCTTGGTATCCCGATCTCAGCTCAAGTAGTCCCGTCCTCGATCGACACAACCTACCTCCTGAAAACACAAACACGAAGAAAACACGAAGCAAAACACAGCAAAAAGACGCACATAACGAACTAAAGAGAGAAATGGAAAAATCACAGAATTGGACCAAATAAACTACGAAAATCCTATAAGTGGGGAAAAATAAAGAGAAAATAAAGCGAAAATAAAGACACAAAAATGGGACAAACAGTGTAGTCCGGTATGCCTATAAAACAGTGGTTAGCTCGTCGATCCAGGCTCCCGATGCCTTCTCCAATCGCTTCTTTAGCCCCTGCAAGATGGTTCTATTTGTAACCTCGACTTGCCCGTTAGCTTGGGGGTGAGCGACCTAAGCGAACCTCTGCTTGATCCCCATATTAAGGCACCATGCCTGGATTCGCTTGCCTTGAAACTGAGTTCCATTGTCCGAAATTAATATCTTCGGGATTCCGAATCGACAACAGATGTTGTTAAACAGGAACTGGATCATTTTCTCCTCGGTGATTTTTGCCAGCGGTTCTGCTTCGACCCATTTGCTGAAGTAGTCGACCGCGACTACCAGGAATTTTCTTTGTCCGGTCCCCATTGGCAAAGGTCCCACCAAGTCGATTCCCCATTGAGAAAAAGGGATCGGGCAGCTTATTGACGTCATGGTCTCAGCGGGGATATGAGGGATCGGGCCGTGACGCTGGCATCTTTCACATCCTTGTACTAACTGCCTCTCGCAATAAAACGGAACTTAAAGAAAACTTCCCCACTGAAATGTAAAGCACCAGTTCATCACCCGGTTCTGGTTTTGTTAATAGCGGCAATTCGCTCAGAAATTCTTTCAATTTTTCGAATGCTACTTGCGCCTCATCACTCCATTGGAAAGCTTTCTTTTTAAGCAACTTAAAAAATGGAAAACTTTTCTCCGCCGCTCGAGCAATGAACCTGCTTAGGCCGGCAATTCGACCTGTCAAAACTTGTACTTCTCTGATATTCCTAGGTGCGGCCATGTCGAGTATAGCCTTCACCTTATCCTTGTTCACTTTGATTCCCCTCTCAGTTACGACATACCCCAACAAGCGTCCTGCCTTTACTCCGAAAGCGCACTTACTTGGGTTTAGCTTCATCCCAGATGTTCTTAGTGTTTTAAATGTTTCCCTTAAATCCTCCACATGCGAGATCGAGGACCTACTCTTCACCAAGATATCGTCCACGTAAACCTCCATATTTCGCCCGATCTGCGATTTAAACATTCGATCCATTAACCTCTGGTACGTTGCCCCTGCGTTTTTAAGCCCAAAAGGCATGACGACATAACAATATGTCCCCTTGCTCGTCACAAAACTAACTTTGCTTTGATCCTCAGGGGCCAACGGGATTTGATGATATCCCTGGGACGCGTCCATCATACTTAGCAATTGACAGCCAGCTGTGGTGTCGACCAGCTGGTCGTTTCTTGGCAGGGGGTAGTGATCTTTTGGGCAAGCTAAATTTAAATCGCGAAAATCAATGCACATACGCCACTTATTCAGCGCTTTTTTCACCATCACTGTGTTTGATATCCATTCAGGGAATTGAATTTCTTTGATATATTTGTCTTTCAGTAACTTATCCACCTCGACCTCAATTGCTTTATCGATCTCTGCCCCATGATGCCTAAGCCGCTGCTTCACGGGCTTTTTTAGGGGGTCGACATTAAGTTTATGTTCCATGACAGCGGGATCGATTCCCGTTAACTCTTCAGGAGAAAAGGCAAATATGTCTCTGAATTCTTTCAACAGTCCCACCAACTGTCGACGCAACTCCTCTTCCAACTCTCTCCCAACTTTAGTGGTTTGCTCCTCTCTTTCCCCGATTTGGATTTCCATCAACTCTCCGTGCGGCTCAAGGTCGCCTTCCCTTTGTCTTTTTTCACTCGACATCGGCTTCTTCCCTTCCTTAACTTCCACTCGTTGGTTTGTTTTTACTGCTATCTGGTAACAGGTTCTTGACAGCCTCTAGTCTCCTCGGGCCTCCCCTACTTTATCTCCCACGGGGAACTTCAGCTTCATGTGGTAGGTTGACACTACAGCATGGAATGTGTTGAGCGCTGGCCTTTCTAGAATCAAATTATAGGCCGACTCGACGTCGACTACAACAAATCGCACCATCTTTACTTTTCTCAAGTCGCCTTCCCCGAGGACGACAGCGAGCGTGGTTTCTCCTAGGGGTGCGACTTCCGAGCCATTAAATCCAAAAAGTGAGGTGTGCAGGGGCGTAAGCTCGATGTCGAGTTCCATCGGTTTAAGGCAATTGTAAAAGATCACATTCACCGAGCTTCCCGTGTCGATGAAGATCCTCTGCACTTCATAGCCTGATATTTGAGCAGTGATCATTAGAGCATCATTATGAGGTCTTTCGACCTCTCCCATATCTGCTGGCCCAAAATTCATCACCGGGCCGTTTTCCTCAACCTGCTGCACTTCAATTTTTCCGAGGCGGCCTCGAGAATATGCCTTTCTGGCTCGATTTGAATCTCCATCGGTCGGCCCTCCGAATATCATATGAATTATTCCTCTTTTCTGCGGGAGCTCCTCTTTGTCGGGTGTCCTCGCTCTTTTGCGAGGGCTTTTGCTTCTCTCCCTTCGTCGACTGGTTCGCTCTCGATCCTTATAAATGAACTCCTTCAGATGGCCCACTTTGATTAGTCTGTCGATCTCATTTTTTAGGTGCCGACACTCGTCAGTATTATGCCCGTAATCCTTGTGGAATCGACAATACAAATCCCTTTTAGGTTTTACCGGTCCATCCTTTCTCGTCCGTGGCCACCTGACAACATTTTCGTGGATCTCTTTCTCCATTACCTCCAATATCCTTGCATTCGAGGCCAACAGTGGGGTATATTGAGTGGTCCTCCATCCCCTTGATCGTCCCTCCCTTTCTGACTTTGGGGATCCTTTCCTTTCAACCGCCGCGATTGGTTTTTTATCCTTCTTCTCGTCCCGAGATTCAATTTTTGCTTTAGCTGCTTGCAAAAAATCGGCTTCGGCTTCCTCGACATTCATGTATTTGGCGCACCTTCCTAAAACCTCATCGAACGTCCTCTCGGGTCGTTTTGCTAAGGAGTTTCTGCATAATCCTGGGAGTAGTCCTCTAGTGAGTCCTCCCGACTTGATTTCCTCAGTGGCCGAGGGGACGTCGACGCACGCCCGTGTGTATCTCGCCACATAATCCCTCAATAATTCTCCTTCTTTCTGTTGCATGCCTATCAGAGTAAAGTAAGACTTTTGTTGGGCCTTTACACTTGCGAATTGGTTTAGAAAACTTGAGCTAAATCCGTCAACGTCCCTGACGGCTCCTGGGGGCAATTGATGAAACCAGTCCAGCGCTGGTCCTCGTAGAGTCGTCAGGAATGCTCGACATTGAACGGGATCATTGTAGCGGTGCAGTACTGCCATATTTTCAAAACTCCTTAGATGTTGAGAGGGATCAGTCGACCCATCATACCAGATGTTGAGCTCCCTGAACTCTCGAGGCAAGTCGGCGTCTAGAATATGCTGTGAAAAAGGGTGTCCCCTCGAACTTCCTGTTTTCCTCCCTTCCACTCGAGCCTACAAGTCTCGCACCTGAGCTAGCAACTGCTCCAGGGTGTCATTTCTTGCTTGTGGATTAACGGTCCTGACAGAGGACTCCTCCTCATCTGCCCTCCTGTTCTGCCTTTCGTGCGACTGCGCTTGCTGTTCGCGTTCAGGGGGTTGTTGTTCATTTTGAGGCTGCTCGACCCTAGCTTGCTCGATCCTGGGTTGTTCGACCCTAGGCTGCTCGACTTGTGTCTGTTTGATTTGGGCCGCTACAGCTTCGGCAATCATCCTCTGTATCTCGCTTCTCGTCATGGTCAGTGTTTGCTCCTCGACTTGGGGTGGTGGCCTTGTCTCCTGATCAAGTCGCCCAGGCTGCCTCCCCAATCTCAAAGATGTTTCGGTCGATGCGTGACCATCCACTTCTCCACTCGTGTCGTTCACATGACTGGCCTCCCCTTGGGTAAGAACCGGGATCTTGACTCCGGGTGGGGTAATAGGCGTCTCCTCCCCCATACGCCCTCCTGACGGCGCGTGTAATATCCCGACTTTTATCAGTATAAATTATATTTTAGTTCCGATATTATTTTTCGGAATTAATTAATTTCAGTTAATTCAGTCAAAAATTACCTGAAACTATCTTCGACGTACCGTTTACGTTCGAAATAATTTTGGTAATTAGGTATTATGCTTAATATATTGATTAAGCCTTAATTTGTGATTTATGGAAATAAATCACAATTAACAAGCTAATTGCCGTGTGCATGGTATAGTTATGTTATGGTGAAGTGTTAGTAATTTTGTCCATATTTCTTGTGTATTTGCCGTGCATGTGTTAGTGCAATTGTTCAATAAATTCCGCCCAACACAAGTCATTAAAGCCGTGCACCATCCCTTGTCATTTTGCTAGCAATAGTCCAAGATTCCCTCCCCTCATGCTTAGAATCCGTGCCCCTTTGTCTTTTTGTCCTTTGAAGGCCGTGCATTGTCCTTTTGTTGGAGCATTGGCCGGGCATCCCTCCTCCATGTCTTAGAATCTCTCGTGAGTTTTGAGGCAAGTAAAGTCATGCATGGCATTCTGGCCTTTAGCATGTAGTGTCTCGGCATTTTATAGCATGTGAGACACTTGTCTTAAGCTTTGACCCTATGCATTCTGCCCTTTTGATTTTATGGGAGTCCTTGGGAGTTTTTGCTCCATTTCTTCTCTAAGTGCCGAGAGTTAGTGAGAGTGTGAATTTTGTGAGTGTTGTTTGTGAGTTTTGCCGAGAGTTCCCCGCAAGCTACCGCAAGCCACGAGCCAACGCCCGCACGCGGAGGTCACGGCCAAGCTCGGGAGTTCGAGTAATTTAGCCTCTTGAGTTTTATAAGAGGTAAGTTCCCGTCGTCATTCGGCCAAGAGTATCATGTTTATTAAGATTAGATTTTGTTGGTCATGCATGCGTGTTATATGCGTAGCCGTAGCCCTAGGCCGTGCCTATTATTTTCAT